AATTTGCATCTCCCTTCACCTTTTTTATTGCTATGCTGAAATTGTTGAAACTACTCTTCCATTAAATACAACAATATTGTTTCTCATGGGCAAGAATGAGTTGCTTCAAAGTGCTTTCACATGAGTTGGTTCATTTAATATTCACAACAAGTTACGAACTGAGGGTCACATCACCCTCATTTTATAGATTAAATTGAGAGTCAGAGGCATGGTCAGGGATCACGGGGTCTTGGATGTGGTGGGCATGTGGCCTGGCGCAGTTGGTAGAGGCCAGGCAGTTTGCTCTTAGGCCTCTTCTCTCCCTCACCTTCCTGCTCGGACAGGAGGCCCAGAGGCTTGGCTGGGACAGTCCGGGCTGCTTCCACCAAGCTGGCCTGTTGTTCCTTCTCAGTTGCTACTGCCTTGCAGTAAGGGCTGGTCCTAGAGCTAGCTGGTCCTTGGGTTTCAACCAAGAAAGCCCCTCTTCATATTTGACTCAGAGGTTGCTCATGTTGCTAATATCACTCTTATTACTGGAGTAATGTTTCTATTTATTGTAACTATCAATAGTCACTGTTCTGCACTTCCTGTGGGTCAGGTGTTTTTCTGGGCTGGGCTTGCTAATACTGAAGTGCAGTTGGCCCTTAGGCCACATGGATTTGAACTGTACTGGACCAGTGGGACAACACAGCCTACCTCTATGAATTCCCTTGTAAACAAATAATGGACAATTACAGCCTCAGTAAATACAGAACAGTGCTGTAAATGCATTCTCTCTTCCTTCTGGTTTTCTTAATAACATTGTCTTTTCTGTAGCTTGGTGTAAGGCTACAGTAATGCACATAAATAGAAAATTCATGCTTATTGACTGCTTATGCTATTGGTAAGGCTTCTGATAGTTAAGTTTTGGGGAAATCATGAATTGTGCTTGGATTTTCAACTGTGGCAGTCTGTGTTCCTAACCCTGATGTTGGTCAGTGGTCAGTTGTTTTATTGTTTATTTGCAGTGACTCTGGGTAAGGAAATAAGATGTATATTTTTTAGATAAAGAAACAGAAGCTAGGGGAAGTTAGATTAATTAGTTCTAGATCAAATTGCCTTCACAGGTGATTGCTGGAGGTACTGGCTCAGGACTGTCACCTTAGTGACTCTGTTATCGATGCTGATTTGGGCACCACAGGGTTAGAATGTGATGGGACTTGCCTAGTGAGGACGTCTACAGCTTTGTAGAGGTATAGGTTGGGCAAGCATAAGCTAGAAGCAACAGAGGGCCTGCGGGGTGTGGTAGGGCCAGGCTCACGTGGGGCCTGTGGGGCTGGAATGCTTGCTGTCTCCTCTGCCCTCATCACCTGTCAGCCCGCATGGCCACATGCCAGGAGCTTCCTCCCCTGTGACCTGCTTCCAGTGCTTAATGAGCAGCTCATTAAATAAGAGGGAGAAATTAATTGGCCAGAGCGCTGTTTGGTCTGGCTGTCCAGTCACTTGTTTAGACTGGCCACCATTAATAGCAAGAGCTGTGGGTATGTTTACCCGAAACTCCCAATTCACAGCTAAGTCCTGGCTGCTATTTTCTTTTCTCATCTCCCTTTCAGAAGCTGTTTTGGCTGTAATTACAGTTGTCAAGAACTGGGGCGTGGGATTCTATGTAAAGGGCTGTTCTGACTTTGTCCTTTTATGTGAGTGTGCCAGGCTAACTTTAGGGAGGACACTGGGGGGTTTGGGGTTGCTGGGCACTCTTGTGGACCCCCAGGTCTGGCCTCCCAGTGTGCCCAGGGCCGTGACCTATCCTCAGAGAGACAGGCATCACCGCTGGTTATTACTTGAAGTACAGCCTCCTTGCCAAGCCCTTTAGATGCTTATCTCCTGGTCCTCTGCAGCGCATAGGACAGAATGGGGCAGGCAGGGAGGCGATTCAGACTTCGTGGGTCTGACTGGCCTTTTGCCACTTCTATCGTCTCATTTCTGACCTGGAGTCATCATACAGATTTTCTTCTACAATGTACATAATTTTTCTTGGGCATCTTTTTGTTAATGTGCTTTATATATATATTTTTTAAAAATGGCGATTAAAATATAAATTAAGCTTAGCCATTTTCATATTAGGTAGTAAGTGTTGAGTACATTCATTTTGTTGTAGAATAGATCTCAATCTTTTTCATTTTATAAAACTGACACTTTTCACCTGTTAAACACTCAATCTCCTGCCTCCTCCCCAAGCCCTTGGTAACAGCCCTTGTTTCTGTGCTTTTGACTGCTTGGCATCCTTCTTCCTGTAGAAGAAATGATACCCATATTTTCCACTTTGCAAGTGATTTATTTCACTGAGCACAATGTCCTCAAAAGTCCTCTTTCCTTTTAAGGGCTGCATATTGCTCAGTTGTCTGTATATAACACATTTGCTGCATTTGTTCATCTATTGATGATCATTGGGTCGCATCCACCTCATGCCTATTGTGAATGACGCAGCAATGAATGAGGGTATGCAAATATCTTTCAGATCCTGCTTTCAATTCGTTCAGATATATACGCAGAAATGGGCTGCTGGATTATGGTAATTCTATTTTTACTTTTATTGGAGGCTCCTTGTAACTGTTTTCCATAGTGGTCCATAGTAGCACCATTTTATCATCCCACCAGCAGTGCATAAGGGTTTTAAGATTCTTTTTCTCAGGTAATGTGTGGAGGCTGCTAAGGGTGGAGACCACACAGCAAGGGCCTGAGATCTAGAGTGGCGTAGGGAGAGGTGAGAGGAGTGCCAGCCCTCGTGCCTGGTGACTCAGGTATTACTCATGTCTATTTATAGCTGCCACATTTACAATGCAAACTTGATTTCATACATTATTTCATTTGATCAGCTCAGTGTGTTCCGATTTGCTACACTCTTTGATGAGTGGTAGCTAAGTGGGTCAGGGAGGAAGGAAGGGGATAAGGGGCTTATGTCAGCCAACATAATGCCTGTTCGTTCATTCATTCATCAGATGTACTGGGCTAATACCCTGTATTC